CCGCCCCCCCCCCCCCCGCCCCCGGCCACCCCAGGATTACGGCGCTGCCCTGCGGGGCTTGTGTGAGGATGCCCTGGAAGGCCTGCTCTTCCTGCTGCTCTTCTCCCTCCTGTCTGCAGGGGCCCTAGCCACCGCCCTCTGCAGCCTGCCCCGTGCCTGGGCCCTCTTCCCACCCAGGTCAGGAGGGGAGGGCGGGCGTGGTCCCCGGGGGAGGCGGTGTGGGCTGGACCTCTGGGCTGCTGTTGGGGCGGCAGCCTCCTGACAGGTCCCCCATCCTGCTTCTCTGCTACTCCCATCGCCCCCCAGTGACGACTATGACGACGCAGATGATGACGACCCTTTCAACCCTCAGGTACCGGACTTGCTGGTCTGAGGGAGGAGGCCAGGGGCCTGTGCTACAAAGCCAGATCCCCTCCACGCCCCCTCCCCGATCTCCCCCGCAGGAATCCAAGCGCTTCGTGCAGTGGCAGTCATCTATCTGAGCCCCTCCTCCGTGCCAGACTGGAGCCTGAGCCCCCACCCCGGTGAGCTTCCAGAGTGGTACCCCAGCTCCCCCCGTGGCCAGCCCCTGCTCGCCTCTCTCGCTCCGGGCAGGGGAGTGGCCCTGCCGCCTGCATCTGGTGCGCTGTGTCTGCCTCTCTCTGCAGTTCCTTCCCTGGCTGCCGGAGAAGACCCCACTAACCCAGCCTGACTGGGCTCTCGCCTCTAACAGCACCTCTGGCCACGGACACCCACACGGGCCGCCTCCCTGCCCTGCCCCCTCTCCCACGCGCGCCCTTGCCCCGGGGAGTCAGCCAGGGGGCAGGCCAGGCCTTGGGGCTGGCGGGGAGGGGCAGCCAGCTAGCCCCGCAACCCCTCACCCCTGGCCACCAGGCCCATCCTCGAAGGGACATGAGTGTCCTTGTCCCTGCCAGGCCCCAGGGGGCTTAGGGCTGTCATCTCAACTTATGGCACTAACTCGGGAATGGGTTGATTTGAAATAAAAGGGAAAACTTTATTTTACAAGCAGCTGGGTCCTTATTTTTCTCCTCCCTGCTCTGGCCTCCTGATTGGGGCCGGGGAGACCCCTCCACTGCCTCCTCCTGGCTGCCAGGCATTTCCAAGGACACTGGGTTTTTGTTTTGTTGTTTTTAAAATAATAATGACTTTTTTGCCTGATTCTAAAAGTAGAACACATGTCCTGACCCAGGAAGAGATCAGACAAGCCAGGAATAGATCTGTGTGTGTGTGTGTGTGTGTGTGTGTGTGTGTGTCTGTGACAGAAGACAGATGTCAAGTCAGAGTGAAAGGCCGTGTGGTTTCAAAGCTCTGCGGACACCTTGGTCTCCGTCTGGAAGAAGATGTTCTACAGACGAGACAGGTGAAAATCTACCAGAGACAAAGGAAGGAGCAAACGTATCACAAAGAATAAGTAGGAGGCTCTTGTATGTGGTGTACCTTTGCTGGAAAGGGAACACTTCCAGCAAGATGCCCCAAAGCTAGCAAGGAGAAGGCAATTTATTTGACAAATTGTGGAACTAAAAACAATAAAATGTAAAGCCAGAAGGCAAATTGGTAGTCTAGGGAAAAACTGTTTTCACACCTATGGCTGAGAAATGTGTTTTTATTACTACATAAACATAATCTACAAAGCTTCCATACACTAAGAAAAGGACCACTTAATTTGAAAATAAGCGATTATGATGCACATTCGATGAAGTGCAAACCCCAACAGCAGGGAACAGACAACAAGGTGTTCAAAGCCTGACAACTAGGAAGTGCAATGTGAAACGAGGAGGAACGCTTTCCTTCCCCACCCACCGCGCGATGACACCGTGAGAACAGTGCTAAGAACCGACGCTGGCAAGGCTGGGCTCTGGAGGACGCTGGGGTGCGCAGCTCCCGACGCTGTGATGACAGTCTGCTCACGTATGACCCTCTGGCCAGGCTGTTATACTCTGGGGAAAATGAAGCAGAGGCATCAAAATCTCAGGATGTCTGTCAAGGGCTGTGGACGGGCTGAACTCTGAGCTGAAGGCCACGGAGAGGGGCTGAGTCCCATAAATCACCGCCCGGCAGGGCTCTCCGGAACACAATGGCTCTTGGGTTCGGGATTTTAGGGACAGCCTAGGAAAGGAGAGGTGAGCTGGGGGTGACAGACAGTGGCAGCACAGTGGACAAACGCAGGGGAGGCCATGATTAAGGGCCCTGCCTGACACTCACCACCAGATGGCTGTGGGCAGTCATGTGACCTGTGGGAGTTCCGCCGCCTCACCCCCTGGCAGGGGGACGTAAGACAGCTCCCCAGGCCCTCCTCTGAGATTCTCCTAGACCACAAGTCTCCCTCAACTCGACGGGCAGCAAAAACAGACTACTCCCCCACCTAGTGTCAACGCTCATGCTCCCCCCCTCTGGAAACACTGATGGGGTCACGTCCAAGCGCCATCAGAGTAGTGCAGGTACTGTGCACGAGGGTTTTGGGTCAGGCTTGGTGGCCTGCAGTGCCAGATGTGAGACCCTCGATGGGGGCCTGCCACTGGGGAGCTGCTCTTGGGCTTCCTAATCGTCTCTGTCTCGTGCACTGCAAGTTAACGTTCAAGGAAGTTTTCTGTGTGCAGTGGCCTGAAGCTGGGATGGAAAAATCGACCGCAGTTTCCAGTGAGGGGCTCTGGGGGCCAAGCGTTGACTCAATTTCTCCTCTCGACTAGCGGGGCTGCCAGACCCTGGGCCAGCCCACAGCTATTCTGGCTGCGCTGATCTCAAACACTGCCCTCTAGCGACCCTGAGTTCTCGTCCACAAGCTGAAGCTGATCTGTTGCGATATTCCAAAAGCACCCTGAGATTCAGGTCACCTGATTTCCTGCCAACAGGCCCGGCAGTGATCTTTAACCTGGAAGCTTTAACCAAGAAAGAAGGACATTTTTTTTTTTAAAGATTTTTTTAATTTATTTATTTGGCAGAGAGACACAGAGAGAGAACAAGTAGGCAGAGAGGCAGGCAGAGGGAGAGGGAGAACCAGACTCCCCACCGAGCAGGGAGCCCGATGAGGGGCTTGATCCCAGGACCCTGGGATTATGACCCGAGCCGAAGGCAGCCGCTTAACCGACTGAGCCACCCAGGTGCCCCGAAAGAAGGACATTTTGCATAACCTTTACAGAGGGAAAATCTACTTTTATTTAAAAACCATACATAAGAGAACTTTCACTTCCAACCAAGATGGAGGAACAGGGACTAGATTTGCTCTCCTTCCTGAAACAACCAAAAGGCCAGACAAAATATGTGAAACAACAGTGCTCAAGACTCAGCATCAGGCAAAGGAGAGTGATTCTTGAGACAGAAGACATCAAGGTGAGCCCTGACATCGCCACAGCCCACGGTCATCAGAGTCTTGACTGCAAGGCCGCCGAGGAGAACTGAGGCAGAACATGTCCCAAAGACCCCACCTAAAACTGCTCTAAAATACAGACAATTAAAAAAAAGATAATCTCATACCAGAAAGCAGAAAAAGGGAAACAAAGATGGGACAGATAGAAACCCGATAGCAAAATGATGAATTTACACATAATCATACCAAAAATCATGTTAAAAGTGCAGTTATAAACACCTCTTTTAAAAGGCAGAGATTGTTGGCTTGGATTAAAAGGATCCCACTACACACTACGTACCAGAAACCCACCTTAAAAGTAACAGTGGAAAGTACAGGGATGCTAAATGTAGTGGGGTCCCCTGGACTGGACTCTGGCACATAAAGGACAGGTTAGTGGAAAAAGAGAAATCCAGGGCGCCTGGGTGGCTCAGTTGGTTAAGCGACTGCCTTCGGCTCAGGTCATGATCCTGAAGTCCCGGGATCGAGTCCCGCATCGGGCTCCCTGCTCAGCGGGGAGTCTGTTTCTCTCTCTGACCCTCCCCCCTTTATGTGCTCTCTTTCTCTCTCTCAAGTAAATAAATAAAATCTTTTAAAAAAAAGAAATTCAAATAAAGCTGCAACTTAGTTATCAGTAATGTGCCAGTGTTCGTTTCTTGGTTTTACCAAATATGGTACAGGAATGCGAGATAACAGCATTAGGGAAAACCAGCTGTAGGGTACCCAGGACTCTGAATTACCTTTGCAACTTTTTGTAAACCCCAAATTGTCTTACAACAGTTTTTTTTTTTTAAGTGAAAGGACAGAAAAAGATCAACCGTGCTAACAAAATGATACTCCGTCATCAATACAAAAGTTTCTAACAGTTTTAAAAGTTTTTAATGTGGAAGGAAATCGCTTCTGAAATACTATTCTACCGCCTACAACGACTACATGGAGCGGTTCCTGAGCTGGACTGGACCATGTCATCGGTCAGGAGCCTGGATGGAAACACATGGCACACTGCTGCCCACCAGGTCCACATTCCCCAGCCTGGCCCCAGTGCACTTCCAGGGGCTGCCACCTGCCCACCTGTCCACGCCTCCCCGCTCAGCCCCGGGCCCCCACCTGCCCAGACCTATCCGCTCAACCCCGGACCCCGCACACGTCCACTCCGCCGCAGCCACCTGCCCCAGCCATGGTCCCCCTGTAGTCCCCAGGTCCCAGGCTCTGCCGGTCGCCCGCCTCCGTGTGTTTGCGCGCGCCGCGTCCTCTGCCACGGGCGCCTCTGCAATTTTATGTACCAGGGAAGCTCCCCTTCCCGGCTGGAGGCTGCCCTCACCCCCTTTCTCCGACTTCACCATGCTCTGCCCTGGGCTTCCACATCGCTGTACGGAGGTAGTCTTACAACCCTCCTCACGTTAGCTTGTATCTGGAAACAATGGCTACCACTCACTGAGCCAAAATAGGACTGCGTGCTCGGGCACAGTGCCCGCGGACTCCGCCGCGCGTGTCCCCTCGGGGCCACCGTCCCCACCCTGTCTTCCGGCTTGCCTTAAACGCCCACGCGTCCTTGCGTAAGCGGAGGGCGGGCCCAAGTCAAGCCCGCGGCGCCCATTGGCGGTGCAGGGTCGAGGGAGGTGGGGCGAGGCCTCCGCGTGACGTCAGGACGCCGCGGTCAGGACGTCGAAGCCCAAGGAAGACGAGAACCAGCCGGGTCGCGAGCAGTTCCGCGGCCCTGTCGCTGTCGCCTTGGGCCGCTGCTGACGAGTCCAGGGGGCGGACGGCTGAGGTGGGTGTGGGGAGCGGCGGGCGGGCGGGCGGGGACGGCATCTCCTTCCGGCCCTACGCCCAGCGGGTCCCGAGGCCTGGTGGGCCGTCGCACCAACGGACGCCGCGCGCGAGCGACGACTGGGTGTGGCGGGCACGGGCGGCCACTGCGCCTGCGCGCCCTCGCGCCTGCGCCGTCGGCCGGCCTCCCCGCCCCCGCCCTCGGAATACCTGGGCCCCGAGCGCCCCCTTTCAACCCCCATTGACCGGGCGGTTCCACCGGGAGGATGGCGTTCCCCCGGCGACGCGCGGCTCCGGAGCCGCGTTCTCCCCGCCGGAGTCGTGGTGCGCACGCGCGGCGCGGCCGGGCGGTGACTCTAGAGTGGGTCGCCGGCACCCGGACGGGCTGTGCTTCCACCTGGCGCCACTGCGCTCTCGGGGCCCCCGGGACGGCCAGGTGCCCCTCGCGTCCGGTGCCCGTGAGACACGCCCGCTGTCTCCGTGCGCTGTCCGCCACTCGTCCCCCCCTGCCTCTCCCCGCCCCTTCCCGAGCTTGCTTGTCCAGGGCGTCTTCCACGTTCCCGTCCCCTCGCTTGTGGGACCGGCGGGGTGTCCGGCGGGGACTCGCCTCGGAGTCCACCCCTGCTTCTCAACCCCCCAGGTTTAGGCCCCGAGGCAGCCCTCGCTTTCTCGCAGTCCTGCCCGCCCCACTCGGAGTTCCCGGAAGGTGGTTTGGACGTGGTGAGGCATCTCCGGAGCCCCGCAGCCCGTGGGGGTTGTTTCTAACAGCGGTCTCCTGAGAGCTTTCCGAGAGCGCGTTTCTTCCCTTCAGGGCTCCCCGTGCTCGCTCGGGCTTCTCCCTGTTTCCCGGAGTGACTTCTGCAGTTGTTTTCCTCTGGACTTCTCTCTAGATTACCTCTTTACAGACTGTTCTGCTTCCTCTCAGGAGCTGTTTTTCCCTCTGGAATACTTTTTAGCCCTTCCTTGAGGTCCCTGCACCCCCTCCCGCCCTCTGTGCCAGGGTTTCCCTCGGGCCTTCCCTCTTCTCTTAGGGGTTTCAGGTCCTTGTCTTCCCCCTTGGGAAACTCCTTCAGCCTTCCCCGTTTTCAGATCCTTCCTGTTCCGCCCAGAGCACTGCAGGGAGGCGAAGGCCTTCCCCTCACACAGAAGCCCTCTTCTTCTGTTCTACACCTAGAACCCTCTTCAGCGAGTCCTCATTTCACGGACACTCCTTTTCTGTCTGGCTTCTCATGAGCCCATCTCCTTCTCTTCCCCACTTTGTGACTTTTTCTTGCTCCTCCTTGAGTCTCCCTAACTCCTTCTTTTTCTCATAGACAGTGAGAAAGCAGTCTGGCTCCTGAGGTCCACCCCTTATGCCCCAAGGTCCAGATGGCGGCCAACGTGGGTGATCAACGTAGCACAGATTGGTTAGTGTGGCTAGAGGGACAGAGGCCGGAGGGGAGGGCAAGAGGAAGCAGGGCCCACTGCTGTCCTCTGGGACGGGAGGTCCCCTAGCGCTCCTGTGGGTGGAGTGCGGATGAGCTCCTCCTCTGGCCACGAGGGTAAAGGGAAGCATTTGGTTGTAATGTGGACAGTCAGGTCTTCCTTCATCTCTCTGAGTATCTTGTTTTCATGGTACAGTGCTTATTTCTCAAAATTGGGATGATTCATTCCACCAACTATGATTAAGGCACAGCCTCCAACACTTAATATTCTCATTTATCAATTTGTTAATACCTTGTTTTTTTCCAAAACAGTGTGATGATAGCCTGCTGGCTGGGGAGGTGTCAGAATTGACTCATAAACCATTTAGACCTAGTAGGTACTAGGGGCTATGTTAACTTCTTAGGATGCTGGTATTTTTATTTGGTATTTAGCAACTGCTGTGTATCAGGCACCTGGAAAAGTACCTTAGGTTTTTATTTCTAGTTGGATATTCCCTCACAGGAAGGGGTGAGACAGAAAACCATTGTCAGCATATTACAGATCAAAGTATATTCTAGACTTAAAAATTTAGACTCCAGTAGGTAGGAGGAGGGAGTTTAGGATTCAAGTCCTGGTCTGTTCCTGTCTGCATTTTGCCCACTGTGTACAGGGGGGAGAAAAGACTGACTCGACGTCCCTTCTTTGCAGGTCTTCTCAGTACAGCATGGTGGCCGGGGCAGGCAGAGAGAACGGCATGGAGGCTCCTATGCATGAGAACCCAGAGTGGGAGAAGGCCCGCCAGGCTCTGGCCAGCATCAGCAAAGCAGGAGCCGCCGGCAGCTCCGCCAAGGCCAGCAGCAATGGGCCTGTTGCCAGTGCCCAGGTGAGAAGACACCCAGGACCTGGGTGCCCTGAGTGGGGGTTGCTGGGGAGGGAGACACTTGGTGTTCTCTGGTATCAACAAGGACAGGGAGCCCTGAAGATTTTTAGGAGCCTCAGATAGGGGGAGCAAGGTCTGTTTCCTTGAAGAACCCAGGGCACCATGTGGTTCTTGTCCCTGGGAATCCAGCCTGAAGAGGGGGATGTGCCCTGGGTCCCTAAGGTGCCCCGAGTCCATCCGTAGAGGCTGTGACTCTTGGAGAGAGGTGGACCCAGTTGTGTCCCCAGCAGTTAGCCACCAGTAATTAGACACATTTGGGGGCCACAGGGTACGTGGGCTTCTGCTACCAGTGCTGATGGCACACGTGGGACCCCCCCTCAGTACGTGGCTCAGGCGGAGGCCATGGCACTGTGCTGATGGCACACATGTCTCCCCGCGGTACGTGGCTCAGGCGGGGGCCTTGGTCCTGTGCCGACGGCACACGTGTCTCCCCCCGTGGTACGTGGCTCAGGCGGGGGCCACGGCCCCGTGCTGGCGGCACACGTGTCTTCCCCTGTGGTACGTGGCTCAGGCGGGGGCCTTGGCCCCATGCTGACGGCACACGTGTCTCCGCGCGGTACGTGGCTCAGGCGGAGGCGGAGGCCCCTGCTGACGGCACACGTGTCTCCCTGCAGTACGTGGCTCAGGCGGAGGCCTCGGCCCTGCAGCAGCAGCAGTACTACCAGTGGTACCAGCAGTACAGCTACGCCTACCCGTACAGCTACTACTACCCCATGGTGAGCGCCCAGCCCTGCAGGGACTGGCGGGAGGCCGGGTGCTGGAAGTGGGAGCCGGCGGGCGGGCTCCAGGGGCCAGGGCTTGAAGACAGCAGCGCAGCCTCCGAAACATGTTCCACTAGCACACTGCCCCCGTGATCCACCTGAGAGCTTTCCCCTGCTCCCCCGTCTCTCTGTGCCCTGACCTTGCAGAGGGTTCCCAGGTCATGCCTCAGGGAGCCCTTTTCTCTGACCGACGGGATTAGTTAAAGCAGTGTTCTGCCCCACCCCGCTTTCACGGAGCTTACCGCCTGACACGCTCTGTATCTGTCCACAGCTGTGTGCATTTTGGGTGTAGACTTCATTAGTTCATGGGTTTTCATATCTTATTTTTGGTTCTGTTGTGGTGCTTAGGAAAGTTGATGGTCAGTAAGTATTTGTTAAATAGAGAATGGAATTGATAGAGGCTTTCGTTGTATTTTAGTTGTTTTTAATGCAAGAGAATTTGGCGCATTTATGCGGTGGAGAGAAATAGAAAGGAGTGAGGGAGAAGTGGAGCGTCACAGATTACGTGTGGCTCCTGAGCAGGCCGGAGAAGGGGGAGGGAATCGGGCCTCCACTGACCCTTGTTTCTGTGCCTTTGTCAGAGCATGTACCAGAGCTATGGTTCTCCCTCCCAGTATGGCATGGCCAGCTCCTACGGTTCCGCCACACCCCAGCAACCATCGGCACCCCAGCACCAGGGGGCTCTGAACCAGGTAACGCCCCCACCTAGCTCCGTGGCACATTCAAGAAGGGGAATGTAGTTTTTGTGAGTGGGTGGGTAGTGGGGATGCCTGCATTTTTTAAGCTGACAGCTCCCTGGCTTCTCTCCTGCCAAGCAACTCCTGATTTGATAACGAAGAGGGCAAAGCACGGTTTTTAAAACCAGGATGGGTTTAGGACTTGGGGCTCGGTGTTGGGGTGATGGTGGGAGTGGTTTGCAGCATGGCAGCCTGTCTTCTGAGTTTTCCCCTAGCACGTGCACACATGCATACGCCATCACACACGTAGTCTGGCCTTGCACTTAGCATACCGTGTGGAGGAGTGTGGAGCTGGTGCAGGGAAGGTGGATAGATCTGGCCTGGGATCTCAGCTTCCCATCAAGTGGTGTTATTGCAAGTCGTGTGATCTCTCTGCATCTCAGCCACTCTCGTCAAGTGGGAAGGATCGTCCCTTCACAGGGCCCCTGAGAACGTGTGTAATCACGTGTGGGTCTTGATTGGCACGCACGATGTGCTCAGATAGTAATCCCGGATGGGTGCGCTGTCGGGGCGACGCTCACTAGGAGGTGGACGGCAGGGTTTAATGGCCGCTGCTGCCGCTCAGCAGCTGGGGGCCATTGGAGAGCAGCTCAGGGTCTGAGCCGGAGTCCCCTCAGCTGTGAAGAGTGTGGGCAGTAACTCTCCGTTCCTCGGGGAGTCGCTCTGAGCGCCCTGGGCAATGAGATGTGGGAGGGTCTCCGCGCAGGGTTGGGAGCTAAGTGAGGCCGTGATCGCGAGGACAGTGTGAGAGCCAGCATGGAGCTCTCCTCCTGCCCTCAGCACCGGCTTCCTCCACCAGCCCCCAGTTCCTGGCATGGAAGAAAGCATGTCCTACCAAGCCCCCCCGCAGCAGCTGCCGGCAGCCCAGCCCCCTCAGCCCTCCAACCCCCCGCATGGGGCTCATAATCTGAACAGCGGCCCCCAGCCTGGAACGGCCCCAGCCACACAGCACAGCCAAGCGGGGCCTGCCTCAGGCCAGGCCTATGGGCCACACACCTACTCCGAGCCTGCCAAGCCCAAGAAGGGCCAACAGCTGTGGAACCGGATGAAGCGTAAGTTGGCGGGAGACTTGGGAAGAAGAGAGGGCTTGGGGACTGGACCTTACAGAGCCAAGCGTGGGGCGCTTCTGGATATTGTGGTCATCCCCAGGCTTAGGATGCACCTGCCTTGGAGCCCTTCACTGGAGCTTGGCGTCTCCCATTCCCGGGGATAGGGCAGCCTGAGGCGGGCCAGGGGATGGTCTAACCCCAGCTTTTGCGGCTCTCACAGCAGCCCCTGGGACCGGTGGTCTCAAGTTCAACATCCAGAAACGGCCCTTTGCTGTCACCAGCCAGAGCTTCAGCTCCCCCTCAGAGGGCCAGCACGGCAGCTTCGGCCCCCAGCCCAACCCCGAGAAAGCCCAGAACCACAGGTGATGGCCGCCCCCTTGCTCTTGTCCCTGCTCCCTTGCCTCTGCAGTCAGTCTGCACCCCGAGCCTCAGTCTCCTCTTCCAGAAAGGGGAGGCGTCCCTCCCTCAGGGTTGCTGTGGGCATGAAATGAGCGGGGGAAAAAGATGCTTGAGTTGTGTCTGGCATGTGTCTGCTCTGTGAGCAGGAGCGATGACGGTCTTGGCTGCCCGGCTGAGTCCCCCATCTGCCCTCCCCAGGGGGAGCCTGTCCGGGAAGCCCGACGATTGGCCGCAGGACATGAAAGAGTATGTGGAGCGCTGCTTCACTGCTTGCGAATCGGAGGAGGACAAGGACCGGACGGAGAAGCTGCTCAAGGAGCTGCTGCAGGCTCGGCTGCAGGATGGCTCGGCCTACACCATTGACTGGAGCCGGGAGCCCCTGCCAGGGTTAGTCCAGGCTGGGGGTGGGGGGGAGGGTGATTCTGGGTGCTGAAGTGGAGGCCTACAGACGTAGGTACCCGGGGCCCCGAGAATGAGTGGGAAAGTTGGATCCCGGGGGGGGGGGGGGGGGGGGAAGGCCAGGAGCGTAGAGCGGGGGTCCAGGCGCTGCCTGGGGGTGCAGTTCTGGGGTGGGGCGCAGGCTGTGAAGGCTGGCGAGTGCACAGTACTCAGCTGCGAAGAGCACCCTCTAGACAGAGAAAACGTTGGGTTTGCCTCCCATTTTTGCAGTGTATTAGCTGAGTCGCCTGGGTAAGTTCCTTTCCTGCCTGAGGCTGTGTGTTCCTGGGGCGGCTGGCAGATGTTGGGGATGGTGGGGGCGCTGGGTTGGTGATGCCCTGCCCTGCTATATCCTCAGGCTGACTCGGGAGCCTGTGGCTGAGAGCCCCAAGAAGAAGCGGTGGGAGGCCCCTAGCAGCCTTCATCCTCCCAGGGGGGCAGGCTCAGCGACAAGGGGCGGGGGTGCCCAGTCCCAGCGAGGGACACCAGGGGCTGGGGGTGCTGGCCGAGCCCGGGGCAGCAGCTTCGCCAAGTTTGGCAACCGCAATGTCTTCATGAAGGACAACAGCTCTTCCTCCAGCACGGACTCCCGCTCCCGTTCCTCCTCCCGGTCCCCTACTCGCCACTTCCGCCGCAGGTACGGGGGGGACTGGGGGCTTGGGGGTGGGGGGAGGGGCGTGGGAGGAGGGGCCACTTCAGGCCTTACCTCCCTGCTGCTTCTGTGCAGTGACTCCCACTCGGATTCAGACAGTTCTTACTCAGGGAATGAGTGTCACCCTGTGGGTCGCAGGAACCCCCCCCCGAAGGGCCGAGGAGGTCGGGGGGCCCACATGGACCGGGGCCGAGGCAGGGCACAGCGTGGGAAGAGGTGAGACTCTGGGCGGTTGGCCAGGGGGGTGGGGCTGAGATCGGGGTTCTTGGGGTGCAGTGGGAGGGGCAGGCTATGATATCTGCCTTGTTCACCCCTGACCTCCCTTTCCAGGCATGATCTTGGTCCCACCAAGCGCAGCCGCAAAAAGATGGCCGCACTAGAGTGCGAGGACCCTGAGCGTGAGCTGAAGAAGCAGAAGCGGGCGGCCCGCTTCCAGCACGGACATTCCCGCCGCCTGCGCCTCGAGCCCCTGGTACTGCAGATGGGCAGCCTGGAGAGCAGTGGTGCTGACCCAGACTGGCAGGAACTTCAGATCGTGGGTACCTGCCCTGACATCACCAAGCACTACCTGCGTCTCACCTGTGCCCCCGACCCATCCACTGTGCGCCCTGTGGCGGTAAGTGCCTGGGATGGGCAGGTCCTCCCTGCAGGGCGGGTGCTAGCATGAGGCCGTGGCACCCACACGGGAAGGATGGCAGAGACAGCACCCGAGGCTGTGGTGTGGTGGCAGGGACCTGCAGCAGGGCAGGGACTTTGGGGCCTGGGAGCTCTCTGAAAGGTGACTTGAGGACAGAACTTGTGTTTTGAAGACTAAGTCCGGGTCGTGTGACCTCATCGGGAGACTTGCGGGGCTCTTAGGCTCCGTCTCCTAAGGAAGCGGCCTTCCCAGGCCAGCTTGCCTGAGACGGGGAGGGATCAGGCCCCTGTGTCCTCTCCTGAGGCCACAGCAGCGGCATGGTTCGTGGTCCGTCCCAGGGGACACACTGACGTGGGCAGCTGAGGTCGGGAGCAGTTACTCTTGCCAAACGTGTTGGGTTCTTTTTAAAGTTGGTAGCAACTTGTTAAACGAATCTGATGTTGCCACCTTCATTTTAGAACACTGAGTTGGTGGAGGTGTAGTGGGTTTTAGTGATGGCTTCACTCATCCTGTTGAAATTTTTCTGAGCCATCATTTGGTTTCCTTCCCAGGTTTTGAAAAAGTCTCTGTGCATGGTCAAGTCCCACTGGAAAGAGAAGCAAGACTATGCCTTTGCCTGTGAGCAGATGAAGTCGATTCGGCAGGACCTGACGGTGAGGGGGCTGCTGGGAGGGTCTGTGGTGGGAGAGCCCTGCCCTGCGGTGGCCTCACGCTCTCCTGCCGTTCCAGGTGCAAGGTGTGCGAACGGAGTTCACGGTGGAGGTGTATGAGACGCACGCCCGCATCGCCTTGGAGAAGGTGAGTGGGGTGCTGAGGCCCTTTCGGGTTCTTCCTGGGCTCCCTGTCCCGGCCTCATGGTCTTTCTCTCTCTCCATGCCCCGGGCTCCAGGGCGACCATGAGGAGTTCAACCAGTGCCAGACGCAGCTCAAGTCGCTGTACGCCGAGAACCTGCCAGGCAACGTGGGCGAGTTCACTGCTTATCGCATCCTTTACTACATCTTCACCAAGAACTCAGGAGGTGAGAGGCGCTGCCTGCGGGACGGGGTGGCCCCAGGCCCCCAGGGTTGGGCGCTGCTGATCCTCTTCTGTCTCGGGCCACAGACATCACCACGGAGCTGGCGTACCTGACTCGGGAACTGAAGGCAGACCCCTGCGTGGCTCACGCCTTGGCACTGAGGGCGGCCTGGGCTCTGGGCAACTACCACCGCTTCTTCCGGCTCTATTGTCATGCGCCCTGCATGTCTGGGTACCTGGTGGACAAGTTTGCAGACCGGGAGCGCAAAGCTGCCCTCAAGGCGATGATCAAAACGTATGTGAAGCTGGGTTCTCCCCCGCCCCCTCCGCTCTGCTGGCCCTGCCGCTGCCTTCCTTCCCCACTTCCCTCCTCCCTCTGTACACTCCTGGGCTGTCAGGCTTCCAGCTCCCGTGACCTGGACACTGGTCCTCTCTCCCCTTGTCTTCTTTCTACACGTACCCTGCTCCCCAGCCCCTCCCGCTTCCCTTCCCACGGTTGGCCCTCTGTCTCCCTAGGCCCGCCTCTGCATCTCTCTTCTTCCCCATTCTGTCTCGCTGCTCCAGGGTTCCCTCTCCACCCGAGTCTCTATTTCTCCTGCTCACGTCACCCTGGACCCTGGTTTGTTTTCTTGCTCTGGGCTCTTGATTTTCTCACTCGGAGGTCTCTGTTCACCTTTCAAGGCTCTCCTGACACTGAGCTCCCCCTCGGTAGAGACAAACTAGGAAAGTTGGTTGTGCTCTTGGCAGCTTCTGATCTAACGGGACCAAGACCCCATTCCAACTTGAGCTCCTTTAAGAGTACAGAAAATATGTAGGGAGGCAGGTGTGATGCAGGGACAAGCCAGATCAGGGACTGTATGAAAAAGAGCAAGCTCTCTGTACGTTAGGTATTCCCTGTGTTGTGCGCACATGCATGGTGGGGAACTTGTGGTTCTCTGTCAGGGGTGAGATGCCCCTGGGTGACGTAGGGAGATGTCAGGTGACCTCTTTTGTTGGCACAAGTAGGGGTTGCTACTGGTGTCTAGTGGGTAGAGGCTAGGGATGCTGCTCGGCCTCCTGCAGTGCCCAGGACGCCCCACAGCAGAGAATCACCTGGCCCCAGTGTCAGTCTTGCCAAGGTTGAGAACCCTCAGTCAGAGGTTGGTAGGTCCAAGGGGCCACCTCAGTTAGCTTAGGAGCCACAGGAGTGGTGTGGAACTGGGGAGGGGCAGTCACACTGAAGTGAGGAGACACACTCCAGGATCTGGTTTGGGTCCAGATTTAAGGCAGAGGCCGAGCCAGGGCAGGAGCCGCAGAAGTAGACAAGGACGTGGCACAGAAACATGAAGGTGACAGGATACACAGGGCCTGGTTACCTACCTGGGAGTGACGGGGAGGTGGGGTGTCTAAAGGCTCTGTGGGCTGTCCCCGAGTCTGCCCTCTGCAGCGGGATAGCAGCTCCCAAGCTTGTGTGTGGCTCCCAGGGGTGTCGTGTGGGCTGGTCACTGTGTTGGTTAGTTCGTATATGCTGGGTCTTGGTTGGGGCCGTAGCCGTGAAGGTGCCTTGTAGGAGGGGCCTTGGCCTACATGGGCCGCACGCTCTCCTCCCCCCACTCTTTCTTAGCACACAAGCTCCTCCCTCCCAGAGCCCCCAGAACAGGTTTTCGCAGGGTGGCCAGGAGGCCAGCTCAGTTGTGGGGAGAAATAGGCTCTCTTGTGCTCCCATGGATATCCAGAGCTGTGATGGCGCGCGGACTTGAGGCAGGACTGGGTCATGTCCTTTGTGCGGCATTCTCCCTGTGTGATGCTGGCCAGGTGGCTCCGCCTTTGGAGTTACGGTTCCCTCGGCGTCTGTTTCTAAAGGGTAGGGTGACGCAGTTTCTGGAGAGAATTCAGCGGGTTAACAGCCATTTCCCGGCACACGCCAAGTCTTCTTAGCAACTTCAAGTGACTGTTGCGAGCGTGTAATAGGCGTTGGCTGACCCTGTGCCTGGCATTCCTGAGGCACTTTGACCCAGGCCGGGGGAACAGCCGGGGTGGGGCCCCCAGAGTAGCTGTCAGACCTGCCAACCCATGCCCATCCCCATCCCCTCGGGTCACTCCCTCTGCCTGGCCCCCTGCCCTTGGGCCACAGCGGGCCCTCTTCTGAGGGACTGCTCAGGCCCTTGAGCAGCGGAAGAGCCAGCTGGGCCCTTCCTTCCCATCCCCTCTCCTTGGTCCCCCTCGTACAGGTAAGTGAGGGTGAAGGGGGGCACAGCCGGGGCTGGGGCCACCAGCCCCACCCCGGGCCCCCCCAAGCCCTGGAGGTGGGGAGGCTGGGTGGGGAGGGGTGAGAGGTCAGCAGGTAACGTGCCGAGGAAACCCTTTGGGTGCCCTAAGGGGGGGCACCCACTCCCTGCTCGTGGGGCCCTCCCCTGCCCGCCGCCCGCCTCATCACATTCTCCTCTTGTCTCCGTAGCTTCCGCCCTGCGCTGCCAGTCTCCTACCTGCAGGCCGAGCTGGCCTTCGAGGGCGAGGCCGCCTGCCGGGCCTTCCTAGAGCCCCTGGGCCTGGCATACACGGGCCCGGACAACGCCAGCATCGACTGCCGCCTCAGCCTGGCGCAGCTGTCAGCCTTCTGAGCACCAGCGCGGATGGGGGCGGGGTGGGGGCAGGGCTGTGGCCCCCCAGCACCGCCTTTGCCGATTTTGTTTTTGAGCCATGGACTTGGGTTGTAAATTAGTTCGTGGGGAGTGGGCTCCAGGAAGAGCCGCCGCCCCTGTCCCCCGTTTTCCTACCGGGGGGTCTGTACAGAGATTTTTTTCTACATTTTTATTTTTTGCCTCAGAGGGATGGGATTGGGGGAGGAGGGGGTGGGACAGCGGAGGGCTGGGGGCATGGTCTGTAGGCTGCTCTGTGTCCGCCTGGCACCTCCACTAATGCTGTCTCAGTGTTTTCTCTCTCTCTCTCTCGAGCTCGTACTCCGGTACCAACCTGGCTCCCTGGCCCATCCCATGCCGGGGGGGGCCAGAAGAAGACAGGCCGCTCCGCCCGTGCCCGCCCGCGGCGGGGGCACCAGCACACCAGCCCGCCACCCGCCACCTGCCCGCCTCACCACAGACTCTTGTTGCCCAGCCCTCCGGGGCCTCCGTGTTTGGGGCTAGGGCAGCCGTGTAGAGACTGTGCCCCGCCCTCAGCCCCCCACGCCAGAAACGCCGACGCCAAGCCGCCACCACATCCACGCCCACACTCCGCACTGAGGACTCCGGAGGCCATCGCGGGACCTTGGCCGGGCCGCCTCGTCTGCAGTTGCATTAAGTTGTCTCCGTGTCCCTCCTCCCTCCACCCCCGTGTCTCTTCTGGTTTTTTTTTCCTTCCTTCCCTCCTCCTCCTGCTCGCCACCCTTCTTTGGTTCCGCACAGGTAAAACGGTTACCCTCCCTTCCTCCCTTGCCTTCATGGATCACCAGCTCACGTCATGTTTCCTTCTCTTTTCTTTTTGTGTGTGTTTATTTAAGTTGTTTTTCTTCCTCCCCTTTTTCTTTTTGCCCCCCCCTTCTGCCATGTAACTGGAGGATGTGCGATGAGTTTGCAAACAGCTGGACTGTCAGGCTGCTTTTTTTCCAGATGTTCCTCCTCTGCTTCCCTCCCTTCCCTCTCCCCTCCCTTCTCCTTCCTTCATTCTTTCCTTGGATCACTGAGCACCATTTGGAAGCTTGAGAGAAACCAAAATTAAAGAGAGAGAGAGAGAGAGCACTTTGTCCCTTCCTGCGTGGCCTGGGTCTTCCCAGGTTCTTTGGGGTTGACAGCGGTCTCCTGCAGAGGTCTGAGGGGACTGTCATCCCAGGGGTGGCTCAGCCAGGGGCTGGTAGGTGTCCCCTGCCCTGCCTATGCGGCACAGCCAGACTTCCCCTAGGGGCTGGCTCCCCAGCTCCTGCCTGGGGCTGAACCCAGGGTGGGGGAGGCCGACTTGAGATCCGTGGGGCACCTTGGCTAGGGTGAGGTGGGGGTGTAGCCCCCCTAGGGGCTGTACTACTCTTGAGCCCCTCGGCTTCCAGCCTCTCAGCACTTGGGCCCTATCTTCCGGGGAGGGGGAGGGGGGGCACAGAGCACATGCTGTCCCAGGAGAAGCAGGCTCCTAAAGCTCAGCTGCAGGGGTGCCTGAATTCCTGGGGCCAAGAGCGCGCGCGTCTTAGTGCACCGACTGCGGCGGCTACCTCCCCGGGGCCTGTCGGCCTCAGGAGGGCTAGTGTCAGGTGTAGGGCCCCCGCGGGTACCATGAACGCAGCGCACGAGGGTGCGGCTCGAACCAGCTCTTCCCGGGCCTTGGCCGCCCCCACCTGCAGCGCGGCATCAGTCACCATGACAGCCACAAAATGCGTGGGGCGGGGTTGGCGAGGCGCCGCGGCCCTGGCTCCAGCGGCCCCTCTGCCTTCCCAGGGCCAGGCACCCGGACCCTACGCTGCTTCCGTCTCAGGAAAACCTCCTGCGGGGGTTCATCCCGGGGCCGCCTGTGCCGCTCCACTGTGTGGCGGCCGGCTTCAACACCCTTTCAAGCTCTGTCCACGGGGAAGCCTGGTGCGCCGCTCCCCGGCCTCCAGCCCGGTTCCGTTATCAGCGGGAACGGCAGCCACCCCTCCGTGCGCGCCCCCGCCGCCATGGGCGCCTGCCCCGTCGTGCGCGTTCTCGCCGCCGCCGTGTGTGGCCTCACATCCGTCGTGCGCGCCCCCGCCGCCCAGCGCGTCCAGGAAGGTGGGCCCGCGGCCAGCCGCCGAGCCCGAGCCGAAGACAAGGTCGGTGCGCGAGGCGCGGTCCCACACGATGCGGCCGCGGAAGCGGAAGTAGCGCACCCGGTGCTGCTGCACGGCCAGGACGCCGGGCCCGAGCGCCGCCAGCGGCTCGTCCCGGCAGAAGGCGCCGAAAGGCTCCTCGCGCACGCCCGGGAAGCGGTCGGCGTAGCCCACCGAGAAGTCGGCCGGGTCGAGGCGCGGGTCCCAGCGGATACGCTGGATGACGGCCGCGGCCGTGCGCAGCGGCGGCTTCTTGGCCTCGGCCTCGGCCCCGGCCTTGGCCCCGCGGCGAGTTGGCGCCGGCGCCCCCGGGTGGGGCTGGCGGCAGCGGGCGCCGAAGCGGCAGCGGCCCTCCAGGAAGAAGCGGCAGGCCGGCGGCGCCGCGGGCTCGGCTGCGGGGGCCGCCGCCATGGGAGCGGGGTGCGGGGGAAGCCTCGCCGGGAAGTCACCGGCCGCGCCCCGTTCCCGCCGCCCTAGGAGCCTAGCACGCGCGCTCGCGGGGCCTCCGGTCACTGGCCTGGCGGGCGGCTCCGTGCGCACGCTGTCCTCGGGGAGCCTGACCGCGCCTGAGCGGCCCATGCCTGTGTGTGGCCCTCCTCGGCCCAAAGGGCTTACAGGCTCGGTGGGCACCGCCCGCAGGGAGACCGACGCCCTCGGGGACCCGGACCCGCCCTATCGCGGGTCCAGGAGGTTTACAGGTGCGACCACGCCCTTTTGGGCTGCCCTCCGCTCCGCTCCGCGTGTATAACCCCGCCTACCCTAGGTTTTGTCACTGGGCTGGCTCCGCCCTTACCTAGGGGTCATTCCGCCCCTCGCCTAAAGATTTGCACGTGCTGCCCCGCCCTTCCGCCCCTTGTGGGTCGTGCCCTCGGCTGGACAACTGTATCCCAGCAGGGCGCAAACTAGGTAGCCCAGACTTGGGACGCCGCTGTCCCTCTCGGGCCGACGCATCTTTCGGAGGGGGGTGTGACTCCTCCACCGGGACCCTGCTTCTTCCCAACCACTTTCCTGCGCGGCCGCTCACAGGGTAAGGGCCGCTCGCCTCGAGGGGTTCACTGGATACGCGAGCCGGGAGTCAGGCTCCCGGAGCCACTGCACTCGGCCCCAGGGAGCGAATCAAGCCAGCCCCCTGGAGCGAGTCAGGCCAGACCCCGGGAGCGTCAGCGGGTCCCCTGCAGCCAGTCAGGCCGAGCCCCCCAGGAGCGAGTCAGGTGGGCTCCCCTAGAGTGAGTCAGTGGGCCCCCGGAGGCAAGTCAGGCCGGGCCCCGGGATCGAGTCAGCGGACCCCCGGAAGCGAGTCAGGCCGGACCCCGGGAACGTCAGATGGGCCCCCCTAGAGTGAGTCAGTGGGCCCCCGGGAGCAAGTCAGGCCGGGCCTTGGGGCAGGTCTGGCAGGCCAGGCGCTCGGTCAAAACTGATGAATGAATGGGGCTGTGAGAGCGGCGACGTTGGGACGCCAACCCTGAAAGGGGCACCGTGTAACCACGCCCCCCGCAGTTAAAGGGGCCACATCCCACCACTCCGGGCCAACCGTATGTACGATCTCGACCTTCGTCCAGCCTCTGCGGGGAAAGAGCTACAGGTGACACACACCTGGTCCTTAAAGGCGCCGGGACCCCATCACCGATCCCCCTTGCCCCTCCACCCCGTCTTCCCTTCCCACGAGCAAAGTGAAGAGACAGACCTCGGAGCAGAGACCTTAGCCGTTTATGTATAAAGAAGTAGGATGCCGGACGGTAAACGCGTCGGAAACAGGGGTGCCTACAGGCCGATGACGTCGTCCAGCTCGAGATCCGCGTTGGGGCGGCAGTGGGCCCTGGAGTGCTGTGCCCCGGCGCTGGGGTCCAAGTCGGGCTTGGCGGCAGCGGCCCCCGGGCGCTCCGCGTCCATGACGCCCAGCACCGCGTCCAGCATGGAGGGGCCCAAATCCAGGTGGAAGGACAGCAGCGGGTCGGCGGGCGCGGGCGCGCGGAGGGCAGGCGGCGGGGGCTGCGGCACCGCGGGCGGCGGCGCGGAGCGCGGGGCTCCGGCGGGCGGCGCCCGGGGCTCGGGAGGCGGCCCGCCGCCGTGACGGCTCAGGAACGAAGTGTCCCCGAAGGCGTCGCCGCCGCGCCCCACGTGCAGCGTGTGCCGGAAGTCGCCGAGCGGCGCGGAGATGGACAGGGCGCCGCGCTCAGGCCGCTTCTTGGGCTGCGCGGGGCCCAGCTGCTTCAGCACCGGCATCTGCGGGGATGGGGTGGGGGTGGGGACGGGTCAGCGCCGCCTCCGCGCGGAGGGGGCGACCCAGCCCACGTCCCCACCCTGGGCCTAGACAGCGGTTCAGAGGATGCTCTCCCAAACAACAGGACGGCAGATGGTGGCGGGAAACGGCGTCTCCGGAGGCCCTAAGTCACAGACTGCAATTTTGGTAGGCTTGATTCCACTAAGAACTAATATCACAGCCCTCCTACCGGTCGGGCAACAGGCAACATGCTTCACCAACTCCTCCGAGCGTCTCCTAAGCTTGGCAGAGAAACTCCAGCTTCTCCGAGGCCCCTTTCCTGAAGACAGGGCTGACTTTGTCCACCAAGTGCCCCAGGCACAGTGCCTAGGGCCCACCACACTTCTAGAGGCCCAAAAAATGTTACAGTGTTTTAACTTATTTTAAAATGTGTGGATTATGTCTGTCTTTACACCAACACAGTTATAAAATATAAATAAATATGTATGCATGCAAGCTTTGCCTAGGGCACACACAAGTCATAATGCAGGTCTGCCTAAAACCTCAAATTCAGGTTCAGGGTGGGCCTGGGCATCTGTACACTTGTACAACATTTTATAATTCGAGTTATTTGATTTTGAAAGGGACAATATAATGTGTTACATTTTTGCAAATTTCTCTAAAAATAGCAAGAATGGCATAAATTTGAAACTGGCAGCTAGTCCCCTATAAACTCAGTGCGCGATTGCCACATGGCTGCCCTGGCTTCTACGGTAAATATGGTAAATTGCCAACTTTTGCCTATATCCTGGAACCTGGCTGTTTTTATGGAACTTCTGGGAAGGACTTTGATGACCTTGTACTTTTGTTTTAACAGTCACTGTTATCATAATAATAAAAAAATCTTTCTGTTTGAATTGAAGCCCCACCCTTTCTTTGCCAGCTGTATGATTGGGATAAATTATGTGATTTCTCTATGTCTGTTTCCTCTCTGTAAAATGGATAAAATAACACTACCTTCCTTGCAGAGCACATAGAAAATCTCCATTAAAGACAACTATATTTGTAATAGTGCCAGCTAATTAGTAGTGCTAGTGCTGGGGGCGGGGGGAGGAGAGGATGTTTCCTCAAATAACTGTAGAACAAGATCAAGATTTGATAAAATCCTAGGAAGAAGTCAAAGCAGTCAGCACTATTCTTTTAGTAACTAGCACCCTGGGAAATATCGCTGATAATGCAGAGAAAAATTAAAGCTAAGAGGATTTAAAATAATTATAGTTGGATGTGTTCTGAGGATTGCCCTTTACCCTATCCCAACATGCACACACACACTTTACATTTATTTCTCTGAGAAAACTGGTCTTGATTTACCACCTCTGTAGTGTTTCTCAAACTTCTCTGACCTCAGCCTAGATGAAAAAATATATTTTAACGGCAACGTGACACGCAATCACCTCTCCTCCCCACACCCTCCCCCAGGGAAACAAACATTTTACGAAACAAGACTTACAACATGCTAGGCACTCAGATATTTTCAGTTCTAATCTATTTTATTTTGTTTTAAATGCTTATCTCTGCTCATTAATAAATCTCAATCCACAGTTTAAAAAAAGAAACAAAAACAAAAACAAAAACCCCTCTCCCTGTGCTAGCAGTGACCGGCCTTACTCTGCAGTGAGTTGCAGGTGAAAAGAACACAACTCAGCCAAATGCCTAGGTTTCCATCTGGCTGTGTGTGTGTGTGTGTGTGTGTGTGTGTGTGTGTGTGGCTTTGGGCAAGCTACTTAACCTTTTTGACTTCATTTCCTCCTCTCCAAAATGGAACATAGGAATATAGGATGTTCCTATAACACTTCCTAGTCTCTTTGCAAGATTGCAAGATTGGTCGGATGTTGCCAGTAAAGTCTTGGCAATACCCAGGACACAGCAAAAGTTCAGTAAAATGCTCAGTGGCCACCTGAGATCATTCTCCCATGTCCCAGAGAAGGACACACTCAGAGAGGGTATGTGACTTGCCCAAGGTCACAAAGCCAGTTCTGTGGGACTCCAGAGCCTAGACTTACCACTTCCACTGCCTGCTGCCTCTTGAACTGACCCCTCCCCGGGCAGCCCTCTGCCACTTGGCTCTTCTCCCTGCCCATACCCTAGTTTGTCCCTCATCCCATCCTTCTATTGCCCTCCCAGGCAATGCCGCAACGCCACTGCCATTTTCCAGTGCCTGGCCAAACACACCTGCCATTTCCTTTCCGTGGGACCCTGAACTCACTTCCTCAACCTTAAACCTCAGTTTAGTCCACTGAAAAACAGAAGTCAGAATGCCTGTTTGCTAGGGGTACTTGCGAAGTATAGTCATGATGCTGATGTTGTATGTCCTAAGCACTTATTCTGGGCCAGGTAGAGCACCGAAGTGCGTTACTCAAACAAACTCCTTCCATCTTCAGAACAACTCAGTGAGCTTTACAGAGGTGGTGGCTGAGGTACAGAGAGGTGGAGTAAGTTGCCCGGGGTCACACAGCAACAAATGTTGGGGGCTGGTTTTGGAAACCAGGCAGAGTCTAAACCTGATGAGAGTCTAAAGATGATACCCTACTGTTCATAGCCTCCCCCCTTGGATAGGGTGGGTGGGTGTGCATCCCCATGGAAACAATGTTTCCATATCCAGGGATTTCCTACACCCCTGACCATGTTTGCGTTTCTTTCCTTTTTTCCATCCCAGACAGAGAATAATGAGTTAGAAATCATTTCTGAGTGCAGTCTCTTCTTGCTAGCTCTGAGGGCCTCGGGCAAGTCACCCCACTTCGGAGTGACTCGAACCTCAGGGTCCTCTTAAATAGAGGGCTCTAACCTCCCTCTAGCAGCTCGATGCGATGAGGTCATGCTAGGAAAAAAACCCCTCAGCCGGCCAGGGCTCCTACAGAGGGGCTGTTGTTAGTGACAAACGCGCAAGAGGCAGAGCGTGCAGGAGCGAGGGCGGGACCCCGAGGGGCCCTGGCTCCGCGACTCGAGGCTCAGCGGAGCCGCCCTCCTCCTGCCTCCCTCCGCCCCAGCTGCGGGAGTGGAGGGCACAGCTGGTTCACCTCTGTCCTCTCCGGCCCCAGCCCCGCCAAGACGGAAATAACCGCCCGCTCCACACCCGGCCCGACCGGTTCTCGGCTCCGGGGGGAGGCGGCGAGGCGGGCGGGGCCGGGCCCGGGAGGGGGAGACCCCAGCCCGTGGGCTCGCCGCACTTCCTCGGGCCACGTGGCTGCCGCCCGGACTTGAGCGCCCGCGGTCCCTTTGCCCGTCTGTCCCGCGTCCCTCCGGACCTGGCCCGAGACCCCGGGGCCCGGCTCCCCGCGGCCCCTTACCTCTTGGTCCTCGCTGAGTGGGGCAGGCGCGCTCTCAGGCTCAGGCTGGGGGACCCCCCCCTTTGGTTCGGGGCCCACCTCCGCCTCCGAGGCCCAGGCCCGCGCCTTCTTTCTTCCTCCGGGCGGTTCTCACCTGGCAAAGGAAGTATCATGCGGAACCTGGAGGGGGCTCCAGGACCCAGGCGCCCGGGTCCACAGTGCCCTCTCCTCAGGAACCCCCTCTCAGGTCCCAGAAGTCCTGCTTCCTACCTTTCTTGCTCCTCAGACCTAGGAGTCAGAGGTTCCCAAGCCCCCCTCCCTCAGGCCCTGGGGTCCAGGCCTCAGACCCAGGAGCCCGGGCCCCACCCCTGGCAGGTCCTGGCACCGGTTCTCTTCTTTACCTGCACCGGGGACCGAAGTGTCAGCCCCTCTCGGGGGCCATGGTAGGAACCCAAAGGGGCCGCGGAGTCACCGACCAGGCCAGCTCAGTCCGTCTGGGGCAGAGAGGGTTAAGGCGCAGGCCCCTCCCAAGCCTGCCTTATCCCCCAAAAGTTTGCCTCTAGGATTTAAAGGACCCGAAAGCAGCGGTGGAAAGGCTGAGGCCTCCGGGCAGAGTGTGGGGGCGGGACGAGGCCCGGACTGGGTGTGCACAGAGGACACGCAGAAGGGGTGGGGGATGGCCAGGGCGCGCCCCCCGGCCCGGCCCCTCCCCCTGCCCAGCTTGGAATTTCCTGAAGCTGGGGAAGTCTGGTTGTTTAGAAGAGTAATTTCTTCCAGATTGCAGCGGTTGGAGGAGAGAATGTGTGTGTGTTGAGGGAGGACGGGTGAGGGGAAGGGAGAGAGACGGAGAGAGACAGAGTGTAAGAGAGAGAACGAAACAGCCTGGGTCCCTGAGTCCGCAGGAGGATGGAGGTAGTCTCCAAGGGGCAACTCTGACCCTGCTTCGCAGAGTTTCCTGGGTGAACATCCCTGCCTGGAGCTGCTCATACAAAGGTCATTACAGGACTCTGAGCACTTGTGCCTTTTGGTGACAAAAGAGTGGCACATCCCAGTGTTGGGAAGATCTGCCCCAGGGTGAGGCGGGGCCTCCCTTGCGAGGAGAGCAGCGTCCCCAGGGAGGAGGCTGGCTCACGGGGGAGCTGGGGCTGGGGCTGTGGGGCTGCAGAAGAGAGTCAGTTTCACAGATCACAAGGGAGTGCACCTTGAACGAAATCTCCGGGAAGTGGCAGGTTCTAGGGCAGAGGAGAAAAGGAAGAAAGCTCAGAGCAGGCTGGGAGGCCAGGTGAAGCAGAGGGCTCCAAGGTCTCTAAAGTGGAGTTCTTTTCGCCTGGAGAGATGAGCTCAAAAGCCACTGGACACTGGCATACTGAACCAGGCGGGGTATGGGACGGGATAGCAGGGTCAGATCCCGGTACTAGAAAGTTCCCTCTGGGATTCACGGGGGCGAGGGACTGACTGGAGCAAGGCTGCGATTCAAATCCAGAGCAAAATTTAGGGGTGTGTGTTGGGGGAAGAGGGTTACACAAAACTCAGTAACCAAGATAAATAATATATTTAAATACAGATTTTTATTAAATATTTTATGGATGTTAAAGTCACATGACGTAAAAGGAACTATTTAAAAGCGGTGTTTGGTACGTTCCCAGTGTTGTGTAACCACCACCTCCATCCAGCTCCAAAAGATTTTCATCTCCCCCTCTCCCCCAGAGGAAGCCCCTTACTCATAAGCAGTTCCTCCCTGTTCCCCTCCCCCTGCTCCTGACAGCCACCAATCTGCTTTCTATCTCTGTGGATTTGTTTGTTCAGGACGTTGCATATACACAGAATCCTAGATATGTGGTCTTCTGTGTTTGGCTTCTCTCACTGAGTGTGATGTCCTCAAGGTCTCATCCACATCATAACATGGGTCAGTGTTTAATTTTTTCATGGCTGAATAATATTCCGTGGCATGGACAGACCACACTTTGTTTAGGGTGAATAAAGTTTTAATGCAATCTTTTAACGATGGATGCAGGAAAAATCCATAATGAACAAAAAAAAATCAAAAACTTCAAATTAACAGGGCGCCTGGGTGGCTCAGTCATTAAGCGTCTGCCTTCGGCTCAGGTCATGATCCCAGGGTCCTGGGATAGAGTCCCGCATCCGGCTCCCCGCTCAGTGGGGAGTCTGCTTCTCCCTCTCCCACTGTGTTTTCTCTGTCTC